TACGTACGATTAAAGAATAAACATGACAGCTGTTTGCTTCGTTATTTAATATAGTAACAGTATGCATTTCTGATAGTAATTCAGCACATATCATTTTCAGGGTTAAAATGATTAAGGACATAACACGACTTTAACAAAACTTGATGCATTTACGTTTTGTTTTTATTATACCAATAGATAAATAGTACGATGTATAGTTTTATTTTATTTTACATTTGTTATATATTATAATATTTACGGAAATGTCACTGATGCATTAAGAACATAATAGTATCTGTAATATTAATACTTTTGTACCTGCAAAATGTGTTAGTGGTTTCATTTACATACCATAAAGAACAATAGGTATGGGATTTACCAGCATCCTAATGGTAAAGGGGTTTACCAGAACATATATATGCAATAAGAATGTTTAAATGGGATTTATGGGATTGCCAATGTTTAAAAAAGATTTTAGCACTATACAGTAAGAGCTATTAATCTTTGATTTCGGTGTCTTTATTTTATATAAAATTATAATTTTCATCGTATAAAGTATAAGACAAACTTATACCGAAAGCACTACTTTTGTTACATTTTTATTTCATTGCCTACATGTATCCGTTTGTATAATATAAGTTTCATGGAAGCGGACGTTATGGATTCTGTTCACTGTGCTTTTTTCTGATTGTACACAGGGGTCAAGTTAAATTCATTCTTATTATACAGCAAAGGGAAGATTTCAAAAATTTAAAAGCCCAAAAATTTTATGGAAAACAACTAAAGAGCGCGCTCAAAAAGAATGCAATAAAGAAGTATATATTTTAAAGATTTTAAACTCTGATTCTTTGTTTGTGTAAAATTTTGTTATTTTTCAAATCATTCAAATAATACAATAATGATGTGTGTAATCAACCAATTAAGAACTTTATTTACATTTAAAAATACCTTGCACGGTACATGAAAAACCTTATGCAAGATATAGCCGTGTAATGCTCAGTTAATTTTGCTGAAATACTGACATAAAAGCTCAGGCAGAACAAGAAAAATATGATATAAATGTTTATAATGATATTTGTTATATTTATTATAATAATGGAGTTTCTTATGCAACTTTTTCAAGGTGGATGATTGAATCCAAAAATTGGGCACGTGTCAAATAAATATGCCTGTAATTATTAATGAAAACGTTCCATAGTTACTTACAAAAACATTCATAAGCTAAAGCTTATCATTGACAAAGATACTCTTACGCATATCAAAAGGGTAAACTCATACGACTTTCAAGAATCATTTAAAAGTAGGCGAATAACTGCTAGATGGATGCCCTTTGCTAAACCCGACCAGAAAAAAAGGGGGATTTATCGCTAAAGACTGAAAAAATTTTTCCTTTTTATAAGAGCGCCCTTTTTTTAATTTTTGACAAGTGATTTAATTTTTGCCCTTTTTCAATTTACAAAAATTTTTGGACTGCAAAAATTTGTTTTGTCGACCTCTTGCAAACTTGATAAAAACAAGAAAAAATGTACGTTCCTTTTTAAATACCCTTGTACTGTTTTAAAAATTCTGTTTTGTCAAAACCAAGTATTATAGAGGTCCTTTTAAAAAACTGAAACGATTCAAAAAGTCGTCCTTTGATGGGAGAAAGTTTGTATTTTTGCTACAAAGCTCCGGAAATTGAAATAAAACTATTTTAAGAAAAAGGAATATTGTCCCCTACCATCATTTTCAGATTTTGGGAATTTTTGTTTTCCCATTCCCAGATTAGAAACTTGAAAGGGCTAAAGGACATGGATGGCGATATTTTAAAGGTATCCCGGAGGGCTGACTTGTTGAACCCTTTAAAAAACGACTGACACTTTGAATTTCATTTGGAGGAGACTATTTCGAATGGTTGAGAAGAAAATTGTAAAGTATATGTTCTTTTGGTAAACATACTGACTATATTGCATTAGATATTGACCCATCCTAGTATATATGAAAAATGCTAATGTAGCTTTTTTATTCCTTATGTAAGCATTAAATATGTTAAATTGAAGGGAGCCTTTTAAAATGTAATTTTAAATAAATTTTGAATTTATATAATATATTCATGTTGTCAATTATTCCACACCTTGGACATTGTTTATCTCATTTACAATCTAGGCGATAGCAGCAATATTTTATAAATTATCTTTACTTTAATATAGTAATAATTGAAAAGACTGCTCATATCAAAACAGAAACCGAACAAATTATAAACTCTGCATCTGTCTCTTTTCATAAACAAGAAAATATTTGAACTAACGAACCTTGATGGAGATGACTTGTTTACATCAAATGAAAATCCATTCTTTTGATTAAAGTGGTTCTTAATCACAACTACATGGTTTGTGTTGTAGAGTAACGACCAACCAGCCAATTCCATTTAATTCCTAGGTAATTTGTTTAAGAGGTTTGAGTTTAAACATACATTTGAGAAAAATGCATTTTGCACTAAAATAAATTACCTCATTAAAAACACTGTGCTGAATGATCGTCTATTTAACAATATACCATTTGTATTTTTCCATCAGTCCGAGAATATTTGGAATAAAGGGAGAAAATGCAAAAATTATATAAATAAAAAGTAGCAGTTGAAAATCAAAGTCTAGGCTTTATTGAGTCTGTTCATGAGAAAACAAACACCATTACAACCAACATAGGTATTCCAGGATCTTCAATACAAACGGATGTAGTCAATGGTCTTGAAGAACTGAAAAGATATAGCAACACTCACACTGTGTGGGTTTTGAAATGCGGACTTATAAAGTAAGGATGTTAAAATTATTTAAGTACCGATTTAGATCGTTGTAATTTTACAATGTCATTAATTTGGAAAATAGGACGATCTTATTGGAGAAAATATGATTTCAAAAATTTTAAATCATGATATAATAAAAATATGAAAACATTGTGTTAAAATAGAACACAATTTCTAAGATTTACCAAATCAAAGCGTCCATCGTTAAATTATAACAATAAAAAATTCACTTCTCTAAAATAACTGTTTTACATTATTATGTACTTAAAGTGGTGAATGTTTGCATACACCTGACAACACCTGCAAAATATTATGTTTGTCTTAAATTAAAACATTTTAAAGTGGAAAATGATCCAGAAATAAAGTATTTAACAATGTGTTTTCAATCATTGATAATGTTGCTTTTAAACCTCAATATTGCTTCGAGTATATAATGTTGTCTAGAAGAATAATTCTTATGTAGTTGTAAATGTGCAGGTGGATTCTCTTATTGCAATAAAACAAAGAAGTAAAATTCACCAGCGTGTGGTTAACCGTTGTAAAGTTCATCATTTTCTACTCTGTTAATTGTGTAAGAACATGTTGATCGAAACTTAAGCTTTTTTACACCTATTTAAATAATGTATTCAATACTTATATATTTGTATATTAATGAAAAAAGTCGAACTTTAAAGTCTAAATTTGAAAACCGGCCTTTTTTGTCTGGTTTTGGTCCGAAACAGGAACGGTTATTTTGGCTAACCTCTGGTGTTACAAATTTAAAGCAACACCAGGGATCAAAACCACCTTACCTGCTGGATAAGTGATGCATAGACTACAAATGTTATTCAAACCCAATAAGTAGCCTCTTAGTTATAAGCTCACACAGGTGGCTGCAATCCTGATGCCTCAACCCTTTAAGGCAACCCGGCAGCCACCAGGGGTTGGATAATATGTCCTTTGATATATGGCTAATGATATCTTTTTATATTTTGAATGAGTATAAGTGGAAATGTTTCCAAGTTTGCGCTTCTTTATATAAAACTAAAAACAACAATATTATTTCTTTCCAACTGACGTCTACCGATAAAATCCAAAATTCTGCTAATGCTGTTGCTGCTGCTGATGATGATAATCATGGTGATAATAATGATGCTAATAATAAATGTTATTATGATAATTATGATGATTGTTATAATGCTATTTGTAATGATGACAACGATAAAAGTAACAATACGAGACAAGAATAAAGATCAACAAGGCAAAGGCAACGTTCACAGGACGCAGCCCCCGACACACCCAAGTAGGACGATGATGATAATTATGATGATGATGATTGTGACGATAGTGATAATAATGATTATGTTAATAATAATAATAATGATGATGATAAATCAAGAGTGAAAGGCATTAAAAGATGACAGCAAAAATATTAAATATAACAAATAACAAATAATTTGAAATAAACAATCTTTACGTCCGAACAATAACTAAACAATTAGGTAATTATGTTTGCAACTAACAATATAATATCTGAATACAATATATTCTTCCTTATAGTGATAGCAGGCGGAATGATGTTCGCACAGGAAATAAATACTAATTTCTGATGACAACAACCAATCAAAAATAGTGAAAAGGAAACCATTTAGTACCATTTTATTATCTAACAGCAATGCTCTTTTCAGATCATTTACTCTATTGAAAAATAATGCATACACATACTCAGAGAAAAAGAAAACGATGGTAAAAAATACGAAATGAAAAGTATAAATCTCTCTCATAAATGTCTTGGAATTGGCAGCACTCATATAAAAACAAAACGAATTTATGACAATAAGCATATATCAATGTCGTTTAAGAATGCCACACACTTATATATAACGGTTAACCAGTATTTACCGATTTGAACCTACAAAAGATTACTCAGTACATCCGCAACGTATAATTAAAACACTTTTCTTTTCTTTGACAATACTTACAAAACATTTTCATTTTTTTATTTTAATATACAAATAATTTTTGGGGGGAGGATGGGGGTCAATCAAGAGTGTCTGTAATCTTTTTAACGTTTGATGTGGTTAGTACGTGTGATTCACGATGTTAAATCACCGCATATTTATCTTTACATCATTTCATTCTTGCTAGACGGAATTGATGATAAGGAAGTAAATATATTCTAAAGATTTATATTTCCTCACAGCGAGTAATTGGCGTTGCACTATTTGACCGAATGTTCCTCTGTATATATATATACAGCGCGTGCTGTCTATTTTAATATAATGATCGTCTGCTAGTATCTGTAGGTTGGATGAAATTATTGCGTAACCGAATTACTAGCTTTCATTACATATCAGTTTTAGAAAAGAGTAGACGTTTATCACACGTTGCGTTCTACGCGATTTTATTAGTGTCAATATATATACTATTTAAAAGGATTAAAATTTCGTTACTAAATTTAGATAAATGGCTGGACTTCAGGCGTTTGTTGGGAGTTGGAGAGAAGAAGAAAAGGCTGGGTTTAATGAAATGGCAGACGCTCTAGGTATTTGCTATACATTTATGATTTTAAGTTAAAATTATCAATTAAAAGTAATACATGTATTACAGACAATGGTGGTACAAAATCTGCCTAAAACTTAGTCCTCGAAAAATTTGACTAATATATCAATACAAATAATGTCATGTGTAATTGTTATGTAATCTTTATGCTGATAAATAAAACATTTGTAAACAAATAACTGTTCATAGTGACATATATTCGCTTGGTTTTTCTGAAAAATCAGAAAACGTCATATTGAATTACGATCTTCTAAATTGTATCTAATGATATGACCTGAATTAGGGACAGCATTAAGCTGTCTACATAACGTTTTGTTATGCTCTGTCTAAATTCCCATTGTATCATGTTCGTATGATATCGTTATTCAATGAATCAAATCAATAATAAAAGTTATATAATCAAGAATATTTCGGTTGCCATACGAGTTAAGATTAAGCTGTTTAGTTGATAATATGCTGTAAAATTTGTAAAATCACGATAACTTAAGATTGTTAAGTTTATACAAGGAATTTATATTGTTTTTTAAGATTTTATTTATTTATTTATGTTTATTTCATAACAAAACGGAATTTTACGCGATACTGATAATTTAATAAACATATGCAAAATTAAGAACTTTATTATTAACATACTAGTATTTTCTTTTGTTAGTAATCAACATTTGTAACTAATCCTTTATCTTTTATAGAAATATGTGTAACTACTGATCAATATTGTCTGATAATTGAAGACATGTTGATGTGATTCATATTGAACACGACAGCAGTGCTCGATAAATATGATATTTGATATCTTGAGAAATTTCAAGATCTTGAATGTTTACAACCAAGATGTTTATTCAAACTTCAATAAGCAATTTTCATTTAGTTATGTTGTGAGTAGTGAATTACTCTTTCTGCAGCTATTTTTGTTCTTAACAATGCTTCTTTCGTCACAGGCTGCAGTTTAAAAATATATTTTTTGTTGTTTTAATTGCTTTGGAGGGATCTCCACTTTACCAGTGTTTTACATTGAAATTTGAACAAAGTTATACAATAATAAGTAATATACTTATTTTACAGACATAATATATACATACATCATTATGAGGGAAAATTCCAGTAACTACAAATCGCGTATTCAAACAAATCAGTGGAGGTATGTTTTAAAGTATTGAAGTCTTCTGTATCTCTTGGTATAACAAGTATAAGCTGGTGCAAGAGGGGTAGACGGTAACTTTCCAGTACCGTCCATGAACAGGCTCAATTAAACCGAGCCTGCAACATTTTCAATTGTGTCCTGCTGGGCTTTCTTCAGGGATTCTGTTTTTCTCTGTTTAATAGTTTTGTATAAGAGTATTTATTGTTAAAAGCTATAATGCTATATAACTCTATTTGTCAGCATCCGGAATGCAGTCGTATTTAAAGAACCTTTATTGAATTAATATCATAGCAGTTGTAATATTCAAATAATTAAAGAGGGTGGTTTTTGTGCGAAATCATTGCCAAACCAAATTTTATAGTTTGTAAAGAATCGTTTTACTCTACATATCTTTTTAATAAAAAAACTAGCATAAAGATCAACAGGACCAAGGCAACGTTCATATCTGTAAATAACAGGAACACATTTGGCCAAACCTTAAATAAGGTAGATCTTTGATTGTTCTATTTGTTGGTATATGGACGGTCCCTACTTATTTAAATTATTAATAATTTTAAGAAAATATTTAAAAAAAATAAATAAATAAACAAAAAAATAAATAAATAAAATCATTTTGAAAGATTTGGTTAAAAATCGATTCCTCACTCGAATTTTGATTCCAGAAAAAGGTAATATTTCTTAATTGTAAAATTTATTGTGTTTTTCAAGTTAAAGTCAAATAATTGCTTCCTGAAATATATGATTTGATACTGACAATGACTGATTCAATATTTAAGACCTTCTGACGCTATCCAGATTCAGTTCAACAGCAGTGATAGGTATGTCTATATATAAACCCCTAAGTAAATAAAATTGTTTTCACGAAATTGTAACTTAAACTTCTTAACAAAGCTTACATCGAAACGTTAACAAAGTTATACGGATCCAATATATAACAATGTTAGTAATGTTGTAAACAGATCTAACAGACATATAAAAGAGCCATAAATCATTACCAGGGAAAATTGCCAGTTACTGCAAATTGCCTCTACAAACAAATCTAGAGGGTTGTTTAAAGATATGAAAGAATTTTCGTACTATAAGTCTTACTAAACAAAAATACTTGGAATTTGCTTTGAATATCGTTATTAGCTATTGTTAAAAATACTTGGAATTTGCTTTGATTATTGTAATTAGCTATTGTTATTTTTGTTTTTAACTGCTAGAATGTATGACGGAATACTTGATAAAATTGTTTTAAAAAAACTTGGTGAGAACAATGTCTGTAAATTTCGGATAAAGTAAAATAGCATTTGAATACTTCGTTAAGGAGCGTATTATTCAAGAGTCAAGTATTTTAATTGCTAGAAACACATTACGCTTAAACTCTCACACGTTGTTAACAACTATTTACAAGTTAAAAATGAATGTTCATGCCTTCGTTTTAGTCTCGTCTCTCCAGGTAAAAAAATATTAAAACAGGACAACTTTGGTAAGTCGTAGGTGAAGTAATTGAAATATATCGACACAACAAATCAATTATTTTAAAAACAAAGTTTTGAGACGTCGATTTTTACAAGTGAGTCACAAATGGCGTTACACATGGAAATTGCAAAAACTAAACCAGCCTTTAGTAAATATGTTAGCCATCTACTTATTTCATACATCTTCGTTATGTTGTAACACTGTTTAAATTGACCGCTTCAAAAACACCTGTCTGTGGGCAGGTACATCTTTAACATTTCCGCCAAGAAATAAGGTCCTGGAGAGTACAAAAAAAATAATAAAAAATAAACATATTACGCCATCATATAATACTCAAAACTACACAGATGCAATAAATTCAATAAATATTTCCAATCAAACTAAACAGGACTTACATAAGAGCACCTTAAAATGTTCAACAACTATTTTCTGGACTACAAAGGATTGGGTCTAATTCCGTACCGAGGTGACATCTAACATCACATAAAAAATACTCAATATATATCATAAGCCTTGTAATAATTTATTGTTACTGATATATTTCCAGAATTAATGTTTATCATTCATTTTGTCACAACTGCAGAAAACTGTCCTTATAGACATGTTTTAACAGCTTTTCTATCTTTTTCATATTTCATCATGTGCACTACAAATTGTCATCGCATGTACTATATTGTTTAATCGTAAGCACTCTACTATTCAATATAGTTTCTTATTAGCATTTGATTTGCAACTGATAATCGCATAAAACTGGTACTTTGTGTTTGATTTGTCAAACGGTTAATATCATTTAACATGTGACAAGGTTATCCAAAAATAACCTATCCTAAAACTACCCATATCAGAAAATTTATTTTTAATAAGGAGTGACTCCCTGGTTCATTTTGAGTTAGATCAATGATTGGTATTTTCCAACATGGCAATGTAAAACTATGAATTGTACATTTTGTACATTTTGTCTACAATTCTTCGTCATAGTCTGATTCGTTCAGTGAACAGTTTACTAACTATATTTATTTTACAAAATAACGTACAGATGTACTATGCTCATCATTGAGTAATACATTTTAAATGCAAAATATTATTGAAATCTTTAAAATTCTTAATAAATATTTTTGTTTGTTTTTAGATTGTTTATCCTTGCTTAATAAAGTAAGGCCATAAATGTGGATTTGTATTTTCATGTGTGATATTTATAGTCCCTGCATAATTTTAAATGTAATTGACATACAAGTAAAAGCATTTTTGTAATCTGATGGTTTCCCTTGTTGTTCATGGCTTTTGTTTAGTTCCTTTCTACAACTTATTTAAGGAGAAGGGTCAGTCATGTCCCTTTTGCATTGCATGATTGAATAAAATGTTTGAACAATTGTCTTAATGAATAAAGTATAAGAATAAATTGCTGATGTTGCAGAAACGTACGTAAACAGCCTAGTATAAATGATCAAATGCATTCATTTCCCAATGGGGTTTCTTTCTGAAAATATTTTCTACTAATTACATAATGCATTTTATGCAGGATGATTCATATCCGCTAATTGGAAGTAAACCAAATATCAAACCTTTGATCGCAGATGATTGTTTTAAGCGCTCAGCATCATTTCCTAGCGATATTCCTCCAAAATATTTGATGTTTGATAACTTAGAGAAGGAGATATAGCTTTCCGTGCAGATTGATGAAAATGAAAGTAAGAATAAAACGATATATTTGAAAGTAAATCATGGGAGACTTGGTTCAAAGACGGATATGGGTCCAATGTGTTACCATCCGCGACCCCTACGACCAGGTCAAGTAGAATATAAATTTGTGATAAGAATTTACATTCATCCGCAGATGTGGTTAGTCATACGTTAACAAATGTTGAACAAATCATTTCTTTCCATCACAAGCGTCATAATTTCGAAATCGCTATGTGTGAAATAGAATAAAATGGAATAAATATTTCAGAATGTATGTCCGATCTGTCATATCTTACTGATATTCGCATAATATCAAACTTATGAAACAAATATATTGTCTTATACATAAATAACTGTTAACATGCTATTAGTAAGAAAAATCCATATGCATGTATCTTTCATTTTTTGTCATATAAAACTCACCTGGAAATCTCGTTTAATACAACAGGTAAATTACAGTGAGGAATAATTAATCCTTATGTACCTGTAAAACTGTCTAATGTCTCTCCCTGCTCCAAATCATGAGTTTAATTGGATACATAATAGTTTGTGTGTGGTACTATAATCTTATTTCATGTTCATAGTTTTCTATCATTTAATCGTAAACAAAGGTATGTTGGAATGACATTATGCTTTGGCATTGTTTACTCTTCCGTAAGATTGTCTTTTATCTGTATAACATGCCTTATAACTTAAGCACTGTTTAACAGTTTTAAAATGTTCAACAATATCAGATCAAATCACTGTTCGTATATAGATAAAAACGTTTTAATGAATATGTTATGGTTATTGTATTTGCTATTTATTAATTACCGTTATAAAGTCATTTGATAATATATCAATTATATTTATGAAAACGATATCTGGAAAAATGTCAACAATGTTGATTCTGATGTATAATAACGATACCTTATCAAAATTTTCAATTGTAATTGACAAAAAATTATTTAAAAATGCAACTGGTACTTTCGCACAAGGCAATGTATTTATATTTATCATAAAAACGATTTAAAATGAATTATTTTTATCATAAAATAACGATTTAAAATTTATAGAAAAATAAAAACCTGACATCTACATTTCTTATGCATGTTTTAAATCAGTTTCACTAATTACCTTTGTAATAATGATTATATTAGACAACTCGTTTGTTGTTGGGTTTTTTTTCATGTGATATAAAGTTGTTAAAGGTAAACAAGAGGGATATTTAAAAATGTACTTGGTCCATGTAAATCTGCTGTTACTTGCACAAATTATTTCGGGTTTTTGTTTGGTATTCATGAAGAAATAATAGTAATTCAAAGTTTTCATTGCAAATAATTAGGTAGTAGTGTAAGTCCAACAAACTGTTCTACAAGTTGATTTTTTGTGACAACATTTAATATATGAGCAATGTCTCCTCTCTACGACGTAGAAGCGATATTTCAACAGAGAAAAAAGTATTGTACCCCAGAAACTAGCTTTGGATATTGAAATCATTTGACTATCAGAAGGTTCTGGATAACTCAAGTCAGTTCGTTTCCGGAACTCCCTTTGATTAATTGGAAATTAGACGCGTAAACCATTTCAGAAATTAGATTATTCATTTGTTTTGAACGGTAAAAGAGATTCCCATATTTCAGTTTGTAATTTTAAAATGACCAATGGAAATTCTACTTATGTTCAGTTCTTCCCTGTTAGTTTTTCAGGAAGTCAATCTGATTTTATAGGCCTTTGGGCGAAATCTTAAAATATTCGGATGATTGATAGACTATTTTAACGAAACATCCTGTGCTGTGATAGACTATTTTAACGAAACATCCTGTGCAAACTTAGTCTTACCAAATAACTAACCAAAATAGCTAGTATACGATCGTAGAAGGGAGAAGGGAGAAGACGGTGATCACGTTTAAGACAATTAATAAGTATGAAGATAGGATATAAATTTATTTAGCATGACGAGTTTTTATGAAGTGGAAAGGGCAAGGTTGAATGAAATGGCACATTGTCTCTATTTCAATAGAAGAAGTTGCAAGTTGTTCCCGCATAATTTTATTATGCATGTCGAACTCATATGTGTGGAAAATGACCTTTTATGTAAGATAACTAATCTGACGCAGGCATTGAAATAAGTGGAAAAGAAAGTCAATGCATACGTTTGATTACAAATTCAAGTTTTGTTTCATGCTCATATTTTTCATCGTCAAGTTAAATTTTGACTTTATACTTCAACGGATGGACTTTGACTGAATGATTTTTGAGTCCCAAGCATTGATATAAATCTGCTTAAAATAAAAACAAAATAAATAAATATAGACTGCCTCTTTTTTACAAATTCAAAGTTACCCATAGACGTCGAATCACAGTTTGTAAATGTTCGTGGGTCACATTAATCTTTTTTTGCTAAGTAAAGTTTAAAACAGTTATTGAAAAATGTAAAGATATTCTTTTAACTTTTGCCTGAGCATTCACCATTGACACTTAGATGGACATAAAGTTACTTTAATATTTTATCATCTAATGACCCTAGTAGGCTAATGGAAATATGCACATATGTGCATTCTACTTAAAACTATTATGTTTAGATTTTTCAAGGGGTATTCATGCATTTTATTTACATTCAGACTGTTTTATTTAGTCTGTTTGTTTTTGACAATTCATTCTTTTGACTGATCCATTTAGCCATTTGAACCTTGGATTTAGATCAAGCTTGGTCTTTAATGAAAAACAGTTTATTATTAACACACGTTATTATTAGTTTCATAGTCAGTAAGCTATTCAAACTAATGACGATTGTTAATTTTTTGTTACTTTTGATTTTTGCTGTTCTGCTTATTGTTGCATGTTCGTAGCTGTTAGGCGAAATAATTGTGGAAATCAAAAATACATCAGCTGCATTAATATACCTTTATTAAAAGTGTAACCATTTTTAAATATGAACTATTTTTGGCATATTTAACATCTCTTTCGATTGAGAAAAAAATGCAATGTCCATATACACTTCATTGAAATTTTATATGTCTACCTATAAATATGGTGTAATTGCTATTAATAACTATGTTCTCAAGTTACAAAGGCAGAAAATGCAAAGCATAATTTATCAAATGCATTTTTGTTCCCACGAGGATGTTTAAATACAATGTTCTCATATTTACTATATTATACATCTATACACTGGGTGACTCAAACTCCCTAATTGGTCGTATAATGAACAAAACATTTGCATTCAATTGATCGCAATTACAAACTAGCATCATTTATAACGATATAACATCATATGTTGCATGTTATAACATGTTATAGTACGAATTATGTTGTAATTTTTATGCAATGCAAAGGTGGTGTTTTTATTCCAATATCATATCGTTTGCCATTCTTGCACAGTATTTATTCTAATATAGCGCCTGTAGTAAACTTGTATTGGTTCGCGTTAAAAGTTGATAAAGCGTTCTGTAAACACTGGGTGTGTGAATGATTGATATGTTACAAATATTGCTTTTCTGGTTAAATCAATGTCTTATCTTATCTTGACAGGTTTTTGATACATATCGGAGATGGTGACCTGTACTAAGCTATGATCATATTAATTCAAAATATGACGCATTAACACAAATAAATGGCGTACTTAATTTGATAGATATGCAAAGCTGTATAAGTCATAAAGCATTAGTTAAATAAAATCCGTCATATGTATAGAATAATATTTTTCCTTTCTAATTATTGTTTTAACAAGAACTATACTTATCAATACCTTAGCAACTGTAATGGTCTATTTGGTTTTTATATAAACATTCCTTAAAGTTGTCATGTTTCTCAGTTTTGTTTCATGTCTCTTAGAAGAAATAATAACAAGACTCTTGAGTTTTAAGATAAATAATAAAATAGCACTAATATTGTAGACATTTTCATCAACATTTTTCACATTTATTTGTATATTGTTTTACTTTTGCATAGTTTAATATTGGCAATATCAACCAGTATCATCGTCTCGCTTCAGGTCTTCCACCAGAGAAAAAAGAATTCTTCAAAAACGCTAAAACAGAAATAACCTACGCCCAAGATGGAGATAAATGGGTGATCACAGTTGGAATGCAAGGTGTTCCGAATACTAGAACATTCCAATTTAAACTTGGAGAAGAATACCAGTCAGCATCCCTTGACGGATCGCCGCTTACGGTATAAAAGTTTAGGATATTAAATATATGACCAGTTTCAAAGCAAAACATTTTTCTCATAGCGAATCCTGATTATAAGTAGTTAAATCATTTAAGGAATTCATCGTATAAAATACATACAGAAGTAGATAATAGATAAGGCTGAAAGGAATGCCGACTAAATATAGAAAACCTTCCGGAGAAGAACAATGCTCTCTCAGTCTTAATAGCTCTATCTGCTTAATGTTCCCGATTTGACAGAAAGTTAAACATTTAAATCTTAACCGTATTAAATACCACAAGTACAAGTACAAGAAATTTAAAGAGACAATTATACACATTAATACTTTATAAAACAAATTTTACATGATTGGAAGTGACAAGACGGAATATTACAATAAAAAATATGTTCACAAATAATATTTTCAGAGTAAGATGACGGCTGACGGAGACAAGTTTTTAGAAGAACACGTAGATGAAAGTATGAATAACATGAAAATGTTGATAAGCAGGCATATAGAAGGGGATAAAATGGTTGTGGTAGGGAACCTAATTTCATTTTTTAACAGCCAGTGAAGCGATTGAATGAAGTGGCCTGATCCATAACTTATTGTTGTCATGTTGCTCAGGTCCATTAAAACAATCTTAGCTCTTTGTGTCGCAATTTGCTTAAACATGTGTCTGCTGTCGAGTCAAATGATACACTTTGTTTTGTTTTTTTTTTAATTTTAAGTCAGTTGGTAAAGGTTAGATTGCGAATTGTTAGCTTATATGTCCAGGAAGTATCAATTGCATGCATTATTTAAGGCTTAGAAGATCAGAGTTTAAATCAATATCTTAACTAAAATTTCTTGACGTACAACTGTTGCTGATTGTTCTTGTTGTTTTTTTTCTCTCTTTCAAAAATATCTCATTACTTCTGAATTGAGTGTTCTTCTCATCAATATCATCATAAGTTTCGGATAACTTTAACAACGGTACTTTTATAAGAAAAATCTGATTATGATCATTTTGCAAAAGAACATACAGTTTCATACATTGACTATGTAAACATTTTTATTTTGTACACTTGAGCATACGAGCTTTTATTTGAAAATATACATCTGTAAAATTGCAATATGTTGTGGTTTCATATTGAATTATGTTCAAATTCTAAAGATTTTAAAGTGCATTAATACTTACTTAAATTTGTGTTTTTGTTTTCAGGTAACAAAAGTTGGAAACTTAGAAATGCAATCAAAATATGGAAGAATATGAACGCATTGCCTAGCAAATTTATTTAATTAAATTAAAGAAAGCATTGTGGCTTATAGAACATTTCGCTTCAAAAAACTATATCAGTTCGAGAAGATTGTTAAATAATTGTGATATGAAATATTTATTTGTATCATGCGTCAGAAATCTGATAAAATGTTTAAAAATACAATCTACGAAAGAAAAAGAAAAATATTATATCTGTGTATTAATGTGAAAAAAGAAAGAAATCAAAAATTTAAAATTTGGTTTATAACTTGCCTTGTTTGCTCTTTTAAGCTATTACCACAAGGATATGGATATCTCGTGAAATATAGATGTATAATTGTATTGCTTTTTATGTTGTTATATTTCATTATTTATTTCTCATTTCTATACTATAATATTCTAGGACCATACCACATCAATAAAACCAAGCAGTTTTATAAAAATTGCCATCATTGTGTCTATGTTATTTTTCGTTAATTGATATTAAATGTCTGCAATCATGTTCCGTCTATTTTATTTCTTTCGTAATACTCATTTGTCCCACGTGTGTTTTCGGTGGACGAATAAAACTCGATTCATTTTGTACTTTATTTCATTAGTAAAGATTCCTCTTTAAAGGGGTTGGAAAATCAACAAGCAAACTCGCTCAATTTGACATAACAACGATTGAGAACATTGCACTGGACAAGATGTACGATTGTCGACAAGTGGCCAAAGTTTTGTACTTTTACTTTTATAAAGTATAAAATAAAACCCTATAAAATATTTGTAACTGTTTTCACCAAAATGTAACTTGATATTTTTACACACAATTTGCATTGAAAGCTTTACAGTTGAACGGATCCAATATCGGAATGTTAGTAATGTTGTTAAAAGTTCTTACAGACGTATAAAAGAGCCATAAATCATTATCAGGGGAAAATTGCCAGTAACTGCAAATTTCCTCTTCAAACAAATATAGAGGGTTGCTTATAGGTTTGTAGACTTTCATTTCTAAACACACAACATTCGAAAATTTCTTTGAGACGATTATCGCAATTAGCTATTGTTTCGATTTCGTCTTTAACTGCAGAATGTATGTCAGCATCCTTGACAATATTGTTTGAAAATAACATGTGAGAATAATGAGAACAATAACAATTAAATATTTTATGTAAAATAAACACATTACGGTAAAGCTCTCAGTTGAACCAACTTTTCAACATTTTAAAGTTGAATGCTTTTGGCTTCGTTTGATTCTCCCGGGGGGGGGGTATAATATATTATAGCTGTAAATGCTGCTTTAGACGGTGTAAGCGGGTAGCTTAGATGATTGTCACAAAAACATAACATGAACATGACTTATTTTTATACTTCACAACAACAGATGTCCAGTGCTGTGTGGCAGCTGTAAAAAGTTGACCCGTACTTCACTTTAGTGTTGTTATTTTTTCTGGTCCTTCGGGATCATTGATGCCAGCACTATTAAATGTTGAGAATTGAGTACCGCGCAAGCCGGTGCTAGGGGGCGTGAGGGATTTGCATTTATTCAGTATCCCTCATGTACATACTCAATCAAACAGAGTCTGCAATTCTTATGTAATTTTGTTGTGATTAATGCTTCCGAGGGATCACTTTGTTCCAAGATTTTTAATCAAAACAACAAGAATGAAGATCAACAAGGCATAGGCAATGTTCACAGGACACCGCCCCCAGACACACCCAAGTGGACACAAGGGCAAAAGGATCAAGTCTCAAGTATTCAAAGTCTTTTAATAATTTCTTGTTACTGATATACCATGTTCAGAATTGATGTTAATCACTGTAAACACTGCATAACACTGTACTTGTAGACGTGTGTTAACATTCTTTCGTCTTTTTTTCATCGTGTTTACTACCTATTTTCATTTTTTATAGTATGCATAGTATGCTCTATCTGTTTTATCGTATTACTATTTAATATAGTTTCTCATTATGAACATTTGGTTTTAAACAGATAATTTAATGGTACTGGTAATTTGTGTTGTATTGGCCGTTAAACATCGGACACGGTTATGCAAAAACAAACTCCGCATGATCTTTGAAATAATATAATAATACTTCCCATAACAGAAAATACGTTTTTTTATAAGCAGTGCGTTTTTTTATGAATTGTTTCTTTTATTGCCTCCAAGGAATCACACCTTTTCTGGATTTGTTTGTACTTCAAAACGGCACAGAAATACTGATCTTTTCCATGATCCCCATAAGCAGACTCAATAAAGCTGAGTCTACAAATTCCATGTAATTTTGTTGTTTTCATTGTTTTCGAACCCCTTTTCCATATTATTTTAGCCTTGCTAAATATGTGGTAATATTAAGCAAGGCAATGGTCTACAGCGATAACTGTGGCGTCTGAACTTTCATTAGCTTGCACAATGAAAGATGTTATTGATATACATTTGTACCTGTACATGATTTGTTGATAATCTTATCCTTTGTTGTTCATGGCTTTCATATCCCTTTTCTATTGTCTGGTTCAATAAAATGTTTGAAACAAAAAGTGCCTTATGATTTAAGTATAGGAATAAATTTAGTTGTTGCAGAGACGTAACAAAACTAGTATAAATGATCAAATGCATTGTTTTCCCTTTAGTGTTTCGATCTGAAAATATTCCCTGCTATTTCATAATGAATTTTAACCACTGACAGGATGATTCAAATCCACTAGTTGGACGCATGCTATATACTATCAACTAATTGGAAGTTAACTAAATATAAAACGTTTGTTCACAGTTGGCTGTTGAAATCTCTCAGTATCCTTTGTAGCGACATTCGTCCATATTACTTTATGTATGAGAGTTCACACCGTTTATCCGTGCTTGATCGTAAGAGGCCACTAACTGGGTTTGAATTTCTGAGGTAAATGCAACTCTTAGCTCTAGCAGGTGAGGTTGTTCTTACCCTCGATATGGTTTGTAACTCTCGAGGTTAGCCAACATTATCTTTCATGTAACGGCGCCATATGACCTAAATGATGTTCAATTGTAATGTAATGTAATTGTAATGGCAAGAAATGAATTGAAACAAAAAAAAAAACGATTAATACATGACAGTCGCATAATTCAATTGTTTAACTGAATTTATATTTCCTACACTAGTTTAAACATCTCATTTTTAAGTCAATTTCATATACAGTTTTACAAAAGTCATGCACTTACTTTGTGCGTACAAATGGTAATTACGAAAACCCTTTTAATACATTTTATTTTCACTCATCTATGCCATTAACAATGTTGGTATTATTGTCAATGATAAAAAGTACATTTTCCTAAAATATTCGTAATGGACTGATGATGCACGTTTTGAACAAACTTTCCTTTGAAATTATTAAAGATTTACCAGATGGCATACCACAATGGCTTGTATAGAAGTATAGTCATGTTTCAGACGAATAATTAGTGTGAAGGTATAAATCTTTAAGCTTGATTAAGACATAAATAGCCGTAATGCAGAGGCGTGTTTTTGATGAGCAGGAAACGATAATATTTAATGAACTGGCATTTTGTCTCCAATTAAATAAATGTAGTGGCTTATTGTAAATACACACATTTTATTATGTACGTTGAAATCCTATATTTCAAACATGATTTCTTATTCAATAGTTCTTATATTATGCAGTCAAAAAACAACTTTCACAAAAGAGTCAAAACATACTTCTGATTTGAAATTAAGATATATTATCATATAAAATATATCTATTAATTGCCCTGGAAAGATAATAGACATATGTGCATATGCAAAATATATTAATTATCGTATATTCTGTTCAGAGATTTTTCTGGTTGTATTGATGTAAAAAATATAGAATCAATCTGATTTACTTTTGACAATTCTTTTTTCTGATAAAACATCCATTTGGAAATGTGATTTAAAAATAGATCCATTAATCTCAAAAAGGATAGGATATAAGAATTCTTTTTTCAAAGATTTAATTATTTGATGCCAACTGTTTATCTTTAACAATTATCTGAAGTTGAAAACACTTACTATAAGTATCGTGGTCTATAAGCAATAAAGAACAATGCCATATGTAGTGTTTCTATTTCTTTCTTATATATTCAGTTTTTGGGTTTTTTTTACATTTGAATGTTAAAATTATGTTTGAAACATAATAGGTAATTTACAAACATTACCGGTACTTTCGTACACCGTTTTACGACCACATTGTAAAATTTGATTCTCTTTAAAGACGTGTAGTCGGAAATGATGAATTCTATAATTTTCACTGAAGTACCATTTCCATCCATCAACAAATTCGATCAAATCGAAGCCGTGTTGATGTAGATTTAACAGTGTTATATGACATTGTTTATCAATTACAATTTTTTTCGACAAATTATGAGAAATAATAGTTTTGAAATAGACCAGCGGCTTTTTTAACGTGTAAAGAGTCCAAAGAAATAATGAATAAGAATATTTTATATTTCATTCGATTGAAGTAAATACAATTTTGTAAAACCCAACATGGTAATAGATACTTGATGTCTACATATTTTTACGGTTCAGAATTCCTGAGTTTGCTATTAATAACATGTTCTCACTTAACGAAAACAACAAAAGAATGCATAACATAATTGCTTAAATGCATTTTGTTCCCGTGAGGGTTTTTATATACAATGTTTTCGTATCTAATATATTATGCATCTATACCCTAATTGGTCTTATAATGAAGAAGATATTTGCATTCAATTGATCGCAGTTACAAACTTGTATCATTTAAAACGATTTAACTTCACATGTTGCATGTTATGATATGTTATAATGAAAAATAAATTATGTTGTCTGTTATTCTATGTAAGGACGGAATTGATTTCCTACATTTTATATTCTGTCGTTTAAGATTCTTTAAGTATTATTTCTATGCCAACATGTATAAACTTTAGTCACAATGATATTGATTTTATGAAAAACAACCAACCTTCTTTCACTAATAACTTAGTATCCTTTGTAGCGAAATTCGTCCATATTATTTTATGTATGAGAGTTTACACCGTTTATCCCTGCTTGATCGTAAGAGGCGACTAACTGAGTTCAAATTACTCTAGTCAAGGCAACTCTTTGCTCCAGCAGGTGAAGTTGTTTTGACCCCGGGTGTTGCTTGCAGTTTGTAACTCTCGAGGTTAGCCAAAATCATCTTTCTTGTTTCGGCGCCATATGACCTAAATTGTTTTCAAATTTAATTGATACAAGAAACAACAGAACAACCAACAAACAAAAAATAAAAAAAACGATTGATACATAATATTCGCATACCTCACTCTTTTTATAAAATATTATTTCATCATATAAAACTTAATTTACATTTCCTACAAATGTTTTAAAAACTCCTTTCAAGTCAATTTCATATACATTTTTTACAAAAGTCATGTAATAACTTTGTGCGTACAAATGGTTTTAACGACAACTCTTTTAATGCATCTTATTTTCATTCGTCTATGCCATTAAAAATGTTGGTCTTATTGATGATGATAAAACATATTT